AAATATTATTAACGTGTTAAGTAAATGTTAATTAGACATAATTCCAAATAAAACGATTAAAATTGAAAAGTGTGTTATTAGTGTTTCTATAATTATTTTAAAATATTGTAAAATATTGTAAATATTGTAAAAATTGTGAATATCGTACATATTACAAAAATTATGGATTTTATGAAAATTATTATTATTTTAAATATTGTACAAATTGTTGAAATTATTAACATGTAACAAATATGTATTTAAAGTAAATATAAACTTAGCAGAAAATATTATTAACGTGTTAAGTAAATGTTAATTAAATGTAATTCTAAATAAAACGATTGAAACGATTAAAATTGAGAAGTGTGTTATTAATGTTTCTATAATTATATTAGACTATTGTAAAATATTGTAAATGTTGCAAAAATTGTGAATATCGTACATTTTGCAAAAATTATGGATATTATGAAAATTGTGATTAATTTAAATATTGTACAAATTGTTGAAATTATGAATATTGCAAAAATTGTAAAAATCGTAAAAATTATGAATACTATAAATATTGCAAATATTATAAATATTATAAATGTTATAAATATAGTTTAACATAAAATATAATAAGTATACTCTTTCATGTTCCTCTGAATTTAATAAAACTATTTCAACATATATTTCAATACAAGCATGATTTGACACTCGAAATATCTTTTTTCCAAACGATATTCTTAACTTTTACCTTATTATTTCCTAACACTATAATTTGCACAAATTTATGTAACATAAAATTAAATAAATTCCAGAAATAAAACATAATAATTGTAAACTTCTTGTCCTCGTTATTTTTCTTCTGAGATATTAAATGACCAATATAAAAAGAAATATAATTCTTCTTATTTTTCCACCTCTCCATTATTATATCCCTTAATCAAGTATCCCACAAAATTGAGAATCTATTTAAATACACTGCTAAATTCGGAAATACCTCATTAAATATACAATTCGACCAAAATTAAAATCGAAGAAAAACTCAATTTGACAAGTCAAAAAATTGATATCTACGTAAATGTAAATCACGAATAAGTAAAACACGTCGCGGGTAAAACACGTATTTCTAGTCACGTAACGGTACAGCAACCGGTTACAGGAAGCATATGCACCGGTCACTTCCGTATTCCTAAGTCGGTCACATTAATATCTCGCACAAAGTGCACCATTTCTACGGAGGCACTTTATATTCCAAGAAAAATTTGCGTGATTTAATCGATGACTTGCTCGCAAAAACAATCTGACCTTAATGCTGTTCCACGTTCACCGTTCTACTTCTCGATATGTATGCCTTCATGATCTAGCACGATGTGAAATGTTACCGTTTTGTCCAATCGAATATTTCTAGAATATTAAAAACGCAAGAAAAATTATACTTTCTTTTTGCTTTCTATAAAAAAAAATTTTTTTTCGCCTTATGAACATTTAGTACAATTATTAAACTGCGATGCATCACACCTGAAGAAAAGTATTCTGTTAAAAATCACAAAAATACAAGATTATTCCAGAATATTTCAATTTTTGAAGTATAAGATGCTATCGTATCATTTACAGTAAATGTAAAAACAATTTTAAATTTCGCCTCATCTTATAAGAGAAAATATTTAAAAAGGAACATCATAATTGAAGAAACATATATGTTCGACATAAATTCTAAAAAATTTGCTTGCAATAGAAATAATATATCTACCTATTTCAATTTGTAATGTTCTCAAATAATTTCGAATCTTTAGGAATAGCAATACTAAATATAATATAAATAACGCACAATTAAATAAAAATCGTTTGATCAAAATCTCTTTGATTTGATATTTTACATAATCCTCATTAAAATAATTACCCTAGTTTCTAAACTATGAAACATTAACAACTTCATAAGCCTTTTCCAATTTTCTAAGAATTCTATAAAATTCTAAAAAAAAATTCTAAAATAATTTCCGGCTATCTTTAAATGATTTTTCAATACTAGAATTAACAACCTGTAATGAACCTATATACAAATAAATACGTACACGAAGATAACAATTTTTTAATACTATAATTAACGATCTCTAATGTATACTTAAATATAAACACATACCTACGTATAAATTATAGTATATGAAGTTGTATGACGAAAATAAATGAATAGGAGTATATACTTTACTAAATAAAAATCCATCTCAATTTTGCCAAAGACAACTATACAATAAATACAAAGAAGAAAAAATCTGAAATTAGTCATTCTGACTAGTCTGATACCTCAAATGTCGAACAATTTTTTGAATTATTGAACCACAAGAACAATTAACTCGACTAGAAAATGCAGAAAAATTATTCGAGTGAAAGTAGATCATATGCAAAACCGAGTACGTGAAACTTGCAACAATTTCTTTAATAATCCTCATTTCCTATGGTTCATCATAATGTTTAGGTTATACGTGACCCTCGTTACATCGAATTAATCCTTGAACTCTATTACGTGGCGTTATAAAACTAATTTATAAACGCCATGGTAAATATGTAGCTACGTGTAATTATTTATAATCCTGCTTTAAAGCTGAAATAATTTATCTCGACTCAAACGTCACGTGAATAAACTTGAACCATTTCTGGTACAGCCTCAAAGACCGGTTGATTACGATCAGTCTCGTTAGACGAATATAATTAATTGAGGTACATTTTGGGTGAAAAATGTTTTATTAAAAACATCGAAGTATAAAAACTATAAAAACAGGCAAGCTTATTAAATAATGCTCTTTGAATTTAACCATGATAGTTATTGTTAATCGAGAAGCTGACGCATTTACTGTAACGCAGTAGGTCCTGAACGACGCAAATAAAATGGCGTCCATAGCTTTCATTTTGTCTTCTTTCACCGGAAGCGTATGTTCCACGTTGATTTCCGTACATGGAAATTCATGGAGCAACAAATGGCTTCCGTCAGCAGTTCATTTCCTTTATTTCACTTCAAGGTACTGCTGTTCGGAGCTCTGATGTGTTTAAACGGAAAGAAAACGTGGCAGGTTATATCAGCCCTCTGCACTCCATGCATTTTTGGTTAGGTCGATGAGTGACTCTAAGAAATATCTTTGTAATGAGAAACATTTTGAAATTCAAAATTTAGTTCCTAAAATAAAGGAAAAGAATTTACCTAATAATAAAAGAATATTATTATAATTTTATAATAATAATTATATAATTTATATTAATATATAATTTTAAGAATATAATTATATAATTTTATTCTAATATTATTATTAGAATAAAAGAATATTATAAAATAGACTTACTCACATTTCATTTTGATTTGTGAAAATAGGAGGAAATAATAAATTGCAGCTTCGTAATCTCGCCGCAGCGGCGCCACTGGAGTACAAAGGATTAGATCTCTGTGTATACGAAGGTTATAATAAGTTTACCTAATTTAGTATAACATGTAACAAATATGTAATTAAAGTAAATATAAACTTAGCAGAGAATATTATTAACATGTTAGGTAAATGTTAATTAGGTGTAATTCTAAGTATAGTATTGCTAACCTCGAAATCTTTTCTGCTTTTCTCTGTGCATGTGATACTTCTTTTCGCAAGAAGAACTTTGTTAGATGTAACGTGCTGTAGAGAAAGAGGGTATGAATTCGTGTGAAATTACTTTTTTTAATAACATAAAAAATAGTCGAGCAACAAAGTTACACTGTTTGTATCACCGGCCATAATTACATACGTAACAAAATAGAAAACAATATTAATCTGTCGAAATAAATATTACGTCTTTAAGAGCAGACAAGAAATTCCTCTCATCGACGAATAAATTATTCTTCGCTGCTACTGTCAAAGGAGAATGATGTTTCCGTTTGCATTACTAAAAATCTATTATTTTTAGCACAAGTATAACTCTCGGGCAAAAGTTAAATTCGTCTTGGAGAATTGCTTTTTAACAAGGAAGACATATAATAACGTTTAAAATATTATTCGAGTATTTCAGTTGGCGAGTAACCTAAGTACAATGTATAAGTGCATAAAAATCGTTAAATATTTCAGGCAGTATTAGAAAACAATCACAGCGAAAGCGTCGATTTCTCCGTAATTTCTCCATATCACGCAAAACGAATAGCATATTGATGAAATTATTGTCGCAGTGCAAACGTAATCGAAATAATCCCAATTTTATGCAATTTCTGTTCCCTAAAATTCTATCTTGCCAATTCGTATTTATTCAATTTTACTGAATTTTTATTTTATAAATTGTATTTCAGTGCAAACGTAATCGAAATAATTCCAATCTTATGCAATTTCTATTTCCTAAAATTCTATCTTGCCAATTTATACCTATTCATACCAATTTTATAGAAATTTTACTTTATAAATTGTATTTCATAAATCCCTATTCTGTAAATTCCAAGCCAACTATTTTTAAATCATATCTTCACCTATTAACAAACCAAGAATTTCTCTGACCCCCAAAATTTAGCAATTTTATATTGGAATTTGGAATAAATTAGAAATAAATTCGAAACCAACTATTTTTAGATGCTAACCTCAGCAATTAACAAATCAAACAATTTCTCTCCTTCCCCAAACTTTAGAAATTTTTAAGTTTTAATTTCTACCTCACAATTTTTTAAATTACCCAAACTCTACAAAAATACACATAGATCTCAAAATTTCTACAAATTTTACAAATTCTAAACCAACTCTGTTCAACTCACAGCTTCACCAAAAAACGAACCAAACAATTCCTCCCCTCCCCTCTCCTCTCCTAAAATTGCAAAGAATAAAATTCCCATTGAAAGGGTTAATGAGCAACTGAAAATTGCTGCACCTAAGTCAAATTTCACAAGCAATCCCATCACTGAATGACAAACTGGCGACAATATTTTCCAAGACGCAAACCGCGAGAGGATCGATCCAAGCATCCGAAGCGATGGATAGAGAACGATACCAGATGAAATAAAGTAAGAATACGAACAATTAATCGAAAAGCAACGATTATCATTAGTATTGGCTCTCAGTGACCGGACGCACGCCGTGCCCAGGCTGTTGGGGTGCGAACTGAGCCTGAGTGTACTGCGGATACTCTGGCTGAGGAGCATACTCTGGCTGAGGAGCGTACGCATGGCTGTAACCACTGGATTGACCTTGGTACGAGTCAGCAGTAGCAGGAGGTTGATACCGAACCTGAGGAGGTGACGGAGGCTGTGCAGGCTGAGGCACGTATGGCTTTTCGAGACGATATTCGATCTGGTTAGCAATGATGTTGTAAGGGATCTGAGACTGGTACTTCAGCAAGCTTTGGATGTGACCGGGAACGTTGGTGGAGTATCGTGGCACAGGTTCGGCTGGCAATGGCTGTCGTTGCAGCTGCGACTGGTGCTGGTGAGGTGCTTGTCTTCTTTCTCTGTGCCCTGCATGTTGTGGCCCTCGTGGTGGGCCCCTGGGGGCTGGCGCTTGCTCCACCGTGTGCACGACGGGAGATGTTGGTTGCTGTCTCAGTAGGTCTTGATAGTAATTGCGGAACTGCTCTAGTTGCATCTGCGCCGATGGCTCCGGATTGAATCTGCAAATCGATTTCTTTGTTATTATTGGATTTGTCGAAGATGACTGCGGTGATTTCGTTCAAAGATGGCGTATGTTTGCGAAGAAATGGAAGGGATAGGCTTCGAGAGTTCGAAACAGATTAACCCTTTGCACTCGAGAAGTGCCCTACAGTCACCATTTGATAAAATTTCGAAGCTAGATATTAATTAATGTATCAAATTTGAAATAATGTAACAGCGTGCTAGATATCGAAATGAAATAATTCTACGTGTTAATTATGATACGATTTCTTATTTAGTGCTCGAAAAATATTATATTATCAGTCTTATAGTAAATAATTTTTCAACTCGTACCCTTCTTTAGCCAAAGAATCGTCGAGCGCAAAGGGTTAAATAGTAAAAATAAAATCGGTTATCACAGATAAAAATGGATACATTAATTTAGTTATTGTAATTATTAATGATACGTTTGCTTTCTAGTATTTGGATAATTATTTTATGTTAATATACAACGTAATAAAAAGTATCGTTCTTTCTGAAATTAAAAACACGACCAGCTAAAATATCAATAGGATAATTTTGGGTGGATGATTAACAGTTGAAATAGTAGATATAGTAGAGATAATATTGACTATTTCTTCTTTTTGTATAATTATTTTGTCAATCATATTAATATATGTATATAGTAACATGATATTGATATGGAAAAATGTTTTATTAAACGTTTTTGTGAAATTTGTATTGTGAATTTGTGTGCAAATTTGTATTTTGAAATTTTGTATGTAAGATTGTAAAATTAAATGATTCTTAATATTGAATAATTATAATACAATATATAGTTGCTTTTGATTTGTGATATTTTAATTTGTATTTTAATTAATAATAATTTGTGAATGAAGACGACTCAAATATCTCATACAGTAGCAGAATAAATGCCTAATTCTGCCATAGTAAATGGATTGATATTTCTTACGAGAGATTTTAGATATTTAAATTTATATAGAGAAGATGTAATGAGACATTTAATTAATAGAATATTGCAATGAACTGATTCTACCTTTTTATCTTGCATTTATATTGTTTAAACGGTACAGCAAATAATATTTCTATTCACCTAATAAAAGTTTAATTTCTGCTGGCTGCCGTGGATTACCAATGGTCGTCATAACATGGGTCATGTTAAATATGTAAAAGAAAGCATAACAATTAAAGTTCTAATATTTTATAACATTTTAAATGATGTAAGTTTATATTGTAGTATAATGAAAAATTGTATAAAGTTTATACTATATACTGAATTTAATCAATATCTTTTAATTTCAATAGAAACTAAGTTTTGTTTATAATAAAGTGTATTATCCTAAAATTATTTTAAAAGAATAATTAATTTTTTATTATCAATCCTGCATAAATAATTTGAAATTTGTCATTAATGATAGGTAAGAATGGAAAATAGCAAGTAGTATGGTAATAAGCACATGAAATAATATTAATAAATAATAATGTTATAGAACATGAATATATAAATACAAATAAATAGATATTTTTAATTTTAAACAGGTGTGAAAATCGTGATAATATTGATACTGATTCACGAAATTGATTCCGAAGAATTCTTATTAAATAATTGCAATTTATTCAATTTTTATGATTACTATAACAGTAATATAGTTATTTTTTATTACTATAATAGCTCCTAAGATCTACCAATGTCCACTTAACTCACATTCCACTTTAATTTAATAATATTTTTAAAATTATTTAATAATTTATTAATGCAATATATTTGGAACAAAATATTAATATTAACTTTAAATACTTTTTACTGGACAACTAAAATATTTTTATAACATTCGACTCGTTTATATAATTTAAAAACACTCTTGAATATTAAGAGAAGAAAGGAGAATAAAATTTGAAGATTTGTGCGAAGAATAAAATAGAATAAAATATTCTGGTAAAACCCTTCGGTAACAATTATCACCAATTATTTCTCACACCATTCGAGCTTTGGTTTTTAAATAAAATGACATCACGAAATAGTAGTTTAATAATAAAATATCAAATTCACCTGTACTGTTCAGGGATCGAGTTGACATAGGGAGTTTGAGCCTGGTATTTCAACAGTTGCTGCAACTGAGGAGGCAGGTTAGGTGAGTATTTGATCTGAGGGTCAGCCGGTGGCTGCGGAAGTCTGCGATACTGCTGCTGTGATGCACCAGGAGCTTCCGGTTTGTACTGTGCCTGTCTTCTGTGTCTAGGCGGACCACGTGGTTTACCACGATAGGTTGGACGTCGTAGTTCTGGTACAGGTTCTTCCAGATATTGAGGTTGAGATTGAGGCTGAGGTTGGTAATGACCTGACACTTGTTGAGGATGATGTACGCCTTGTGTAGATAACAAATTCTCATATCTACAAAAGAAAAAGAAAAATGGATGGTTTTATGTAAACAATACTCTACAGATCCTACTATCTTAGTGAAATAAAAGTTGACAGATATTTTGAGTCACAAATGGATTCTATTTGAGTGTCATGAGAATCTTTAAATATATTTTTTAATAATTTTAAATAACAATTTTAAATTTATAAATAAATTCGGATGCATTTGATTTGCAACAAAATGATTTAGATTTGTAAGATAGTAAATTGGATTTGCAAAAGGGTGAAGTTCAAAGCCTGTAAATTACCTAAACGGTTCAGGGATGATGTTCACGTATGGAAGTTGTTGTTGTAATTGAAGCAAATGCTTGATATGCGAAGGTGCATGATCTAAAGCTTTCGATTGCTGAAAGGCAACTGGTTCAGGTTGTGGTGGTGGCTGTGGGTGCCTTGGTGCATGAGCTCTCTGACGGTGTGGTGCTCTTGGCACGCTTGCAATCGGAGCTTCCGAATACTGTGCTTCCGGTTGTGCCGCTGGTCTTGGTTGACGATCGTACGATCTCCAGTTGACCCTTAAACCTTGTAACAGAATTTATAATTAATTTCCAATATCGCAAATTTCCTTAGTAAATTAATTCCTATTCTAAAATAATTTTTAATTCACGCTGCTATACAAAAACTTCATATCGGATTTAAATAATTAATTTAGCATTTTTCAGAAGAGACGTAGAAGAAATATATCCCAAAACACCTGAATTATGTGTTTATTAAATAATATTCCATGCTTAAATAATATTTTCTATTTTCTATGAAATATCGAAATAAGAAAACAAATTTATTTCTATTTTCTATTTAATTTATTTAATAATCATCTTAAAAAAGTAAATTTATTGTAAGTTCTCATATTGCTCTGTAATATTTATCAATTTATCAAAATTATTTAACAATGTTATGAATTTTGTTTATCAATTTTATTCAGAAAATTTGTATGTAGAAATGAATTCGAAATTAATAAAGATACGATGCTTATTTAAATATTAACCCTTTCACGAGAAAGCGTTTCTGCAGACTTAAGACGATTTTCCACTTAACTCACTAGCGCCACCACGGCTCGTATCTACAATAAACGTATATCGTAAATATCGTATGTATTGTTGAATTATTTTCTACTTTTATTGACATAATCTTGAAATTTTTTCTTACTACGTGCATCATACTGTTTGCATGATGTTGTTTATTGCAAATTTTTCAGCCATACACATACAATCGTACTCGTGAAAGAATTGGTAGTTACTTTAGTAATACGTGTAAGTTACTTACCACTGGGGTCGTTGTACTGAAGAGATTTCGTAGTACCTGGATTACCATCGTAGGCACCTTGAATGACAGACTGACTATGTCCATCTGTCGCTCCTTGAATGTTGTATCCTCCTGCACTGGGTCCTTGTACGTTATATCTTTCAGCTACACCTTGAGTGGCACCGTGTATTTGAAAAGTGGAATGGCCATCGCTGGCACCTTGTATCTGAGCATTTCCATCTGTGGCTCCTTGGATACTAAAACCACCATCGTGTGACTCTGCAAAATGGAAAAATTCACCATTAATTTCATCGATAACTAAAATTACATATTAATTGGAAATTAAACAAACTGATTAAATTTCTTTTTTGGTATAAATATTTTATAAAAATAAGGGCAAAAATTCACTGTCCTTCCACTATGGTTATCCTCAAATGATAAAGAAGAATCATTTTCTGACAGAATATTTTATTTTTTACTTAACATAAACAGAACGAATATTTTTCATAGCAAGCTATTTTCTAATCATTTTCTAAAGTATAATTTTATTTATTACAAATTTTATTTATTTATAAAGATTAAAAATATTCCAGAATTTATTGAAAGAATTAAAATTTCTACGTTATATTATGATTATTGATTAAATAAGCTCACGATTGAAATACAATTCGTTGTTCATTTAATCAAAAAGGAGAAAAACATTTCCGTTATGACGTAATTCATTCGGATCAACTGTTTACAGTGCTTTGACACGGTATTGGCAACCGACTTCGAGCAAATCTGATCATAAATTCGTATTAGCCAGGACATATACGAGAATAAATTATGCGGAAAGGTTTTTCTCCCCGTGGTAACAGTATCTCTTATCTGTGTTCTACCATTTTGATCTGTGTACTCGATTCCTTTCCCTTCCTCTATTCTTAAGCCCTGGGCGACTCGATTCCCGTCACTGGGTCCTTGTATCGAGAATTGCGCCAAGCACGCAGGAAGTGTTATTAGCAAGAAAATCTGCAAAATATAATAATTCAAATTTCACTCTTCCATCTTTATAAAATTAATATCTTTCCCCCAAAATTTTTGAATTTTTAAATTTATTTCTAAAAAATCAAAACAAATAACACATTTCCTTTTTGTTAAGAAATAGTGATAGGATGGAACATGTGATTATTCTTAAACATATCCCAGGTATATTGATAATTTTTATTTTTTAAATATGACTTAAAATACGACTTTAAAGATGGAAAATATTTTAAGATGAAAATAGTTTGGAATTGCAAAAATTAATAAAAAAGGAAATATTTAATATTTCTTTGTCATTTCAAAAGAAGCAGAACAAATAACATATTTCCTCTTTTTAAGAAATAATATTTAATATTTCTCTGTCATTTTGCACTTGTCATTCATTCACAGATTCTTACTATCTTTTCCTCTTGTTATTTTACTATTACCTTCTTACTGAATGGAACAGCTTGTTACATATTAATATGTAATAATCCAACAAGTGGTCCCATCAGGAAAAGCTAATTCAACGTATTAAGTAACAAACCACTAATTACATGTTTAATAAGTGTTTTGTGCTATCCGAAAAAAGAAGGTTCGTCTTACATAATAAGTCAACAGTGGCACACTTTCTAATTATAGTCCTTCAAAATGCTCTAAATTAATTTCGACAATTACAACCATCTAATATTTGATCAAAGTCCAAAAATGACAGTTATAAAGATTAATGTTAATTCTTATCTACCAATAAATGTTTAAAAAATTCATCAAAAAATGCCATGATTAAAAAAATTCCAATTGTTACACGTTAAAAGTGATTGAAATTCTTATTGGTCACAAATAACTATTATAGATGACGAAAATCATTTCTGATTACCAATAACAATTATAAATGATGAAAATTATTTTTCTGTATCTTTATGTCAACGATGTAAAATTAATTATAAAGCATACTAAATAATAACATGCAAGAATGTTTATAAAGAAAAAATAAAATAAAAAATATTGTGTTTTAATAATTTTATTATACAAAAACAGTGTCCATCGTTTATAATAATTATTCCCAGCTAAATATGAAATCAAACAAAATTTAAATGATTTACGATGACTATCAACTAGAATCATCTAGAAAAAGATATATCTAATCATTATATCATAATTCTTTTTTATTTTGGGTATAAGAATTTCGATTTCTGCATTTAACTCCAATTTTTCCACTAACATAATGAAACTCGTCAAAATTACCCATTATATTTATTAATCATGTTCAACTAATTTCCTTATTATTTATCATACACTACCACTTACATATTTTTAAAATGGTAAATGAGAAATTATATGCAAATTAAGACGTAGAATTATTTTTCTTCCACATTCCACACATCGTCAGGTAATTTTAAATTTGATATATTAATTAATATTCATCTTCCAAATTTTATGAAATGGTGACTGAAGATCACCTCTTGAGTGCAAAGGGATAATACTTAAGTATAGGTAATAGTAATTTTAATTTGATACGATGAAACTGCAAGTAAATATATTAATTAAAATTTGATATATTAACCTTTTGCACTCGAGAGGCGCCCTTCAGTCGCCATTTGATAAAATTTCCAAGCTCGATATTAATTAATATATCAAATTTAAGATAATGTAACAGTATGCGAAGTATCGAAATTAAATAATTCTACCTGCCAATTATTATACGATTTCTTACTTACTGCTAGAAAAATATCATCAGCCTTATAGCAGAAAATTTTTCAACTCGTACAGCTCTTTAACCAAAAAATTGTCGAGCGCAAAGAATTAATTAATATCGCTCTTTTTATGAAAATTTATTAAAATTTTATGAAACAGTGACTGAAGCTCACCTCTCGAGTGCACAGGGTTAAAATTAAAAAGAAATAATTGAAAAATAGAAATAAATTATTATTCTCCCTTTTCTTTAATCGCAAAAGCAATCCACGGTAATTAGGTTTAGGATCTAAATGCTTCAGCTTTGGTGAAACACCGTTAAGATCATTTATAGGGCATAAATATCCTTGACAGTGAGGTTTTGCTCTGAATATCCTCGATGCAGCCATAATGGCGGCGGTAAATCGGCGGAAGCGTAGCAATGAATGGAATTTTAAGGTCCAATTGCGAAACTCGGGGTTCTAATTACGGTGTTATCTAATACGGTGGCGCATGGTTCAGTGGCAGCCATGATTACCCACCGGTTGTATGCATTTATATGGAATTGCATTTCGACAGCGGCGCAACGTGGCTGCAAGGGAAAGTGGTGACTTCAAGACCAGATTCTTCGTGATCAGGCAAAGTTAATAATAACGTGTTTCAGGAGCATAACGAAAACCGATACCTCAAACGCTTGGTTACTTTCTGATTTTCTATTTTTGATGGGTAATAGTCACGTAAAAATTTTGCGAATTTCTCGATTTTCTTCAGATTTTATTTAGAAATAGATTTAATTAGGCATTGCCGATACCATACTTTGATATATTTTATATTTTATATTTAATTTTATACTTAGAATTAGAACTTATTGTATATAAAATTACAAATATTTAGAAGAACTTATTTATATTTTAGAATTATCTGGGGATATTGAAGATAATGAATAATGAATATCAACGAGACATAAAAATTGCATGGAAAGTATTAAAAGAATAATTAATTAATAATTAATATCGAATTGGTAATAGTAATTTAGTTATTATTTGGATAACACGTGTATTGCTATAGTGACAATAATATTTAAATAATAATATTAAATTTTCAATTTTCCATTTTTATGTTATATATCACCCTGATGTAGAAATGAATAACTTAAATAATAATAATGATAATGATATCTAGATAGTAATGATAATAATAAATCTTAAATGTTTCATCTTTATATCTATATGAATCACTCTTATGTATTGTTCTTCAATATTGTTACAAAAGAAAATTTTGCTTAAGGGGAATTTTATTTAATAATTTTATTATTTACTTATTAATTTTAGTAAAATAAAAGTTTATTATTCTAATTTAATATTAAAATGTACATAATTCACAGAACAATTTTCAATAATTAATTATTATTAAATTTCACATACTGCGTGTGACAATCGACTTAATTAACTTCAAATGGTAGATCAAACAAGGCATAAGAGTACCTGCACTACCTGCTGCTAGATAAAGTTAATTCATTCGTTAGTGCCAATTAAATTAATTAAACGTGGTAAATCGGGATTAATCTGTTTCGTTTATCAAAATGATTTATCAAGTTCCACAGCATCCCACGTAATGATATTCTGTGCATGGAAGAACGTGTGTATTATGTTACTTGATTATGTTCGAAGAGAAATCGATACCTATCTACTATTGATAAAAGATAATATTTTTTCTCAGATTGACATTCTAAGTGAACAATCATTTAATACTGAAGTATGCTTTATTTTGACAAACCCTGCAGTAAAAGAATATGATAGTAATTATAGTAATATAATAATAAGTAAGTAATTTTAATATAAACAACAAACTATTTATTTACTAAATAATTTACTGTAACCTAGAAATTAATTAGAAATAAACTAGAAATACCAAATGAATCAAGCATACATTACACATTAATAGTTATCCATACTTTCATTTAATACTAGTTCAACATTAATTTAACATTAATCTAATTAATTTTCTAATTTATATTCTAATTAATATTTAATATTTTTGTAATTAGTATTATAAATCAATAAATGAAAATTAGGATCCTGCATAGAAAATCAAATTAAAATAACAGTACCCATATATATTTCACATAGTATCATTTTCCACCAGACACAAGAAGGCAAAACCCCATGAAAAACTAAACTGTAACCAAGCAGGAACTATAATAATCCTAACCTAACTCAAATTTATTTCACCCAAAAATAAATAATTTAATTTAATTTAATTCACAAATAAAAGAGCCAATAGTATAATAATTATAATTAAATACATATAATTACCTTTCTGACTTTTCAAAAATCACCATTAACATTCCCATAGAAAGCTTCTAAAATATTTCTGGTGTCAGCAAAAATAAAAAATGCAAAGTAATTTAAAAATTTTAATTTTTTCAGTAGACCTATCGTTAATTACAAAATGGAGCCAAGACCATGCCTCACAATCAACAAAACTCGCAAACCCCATAAAAATTCTCATTTCAAGAAACTCGACTGCACCGTTTACGCGCAGATCTTTCGCGAACCTTCGCTGCAGCTAATCAGGTTATTCGAAATTCCTTTTCGCGTGCAAACCACCTCGTGGAAGCGAAATTTCGGCGGTTATCCGTTCAATCGAGCAAAGTGGATAAAATTCCAGTTTCCAGAGGGGAAAGTTTCGCGTGTCTTCGATTAGCAACGGCAGTTTCCGTAATCGGGAAAAGGCGACGAGTTGCTATACCTTTCCTCCGAGCATTCCAGTCTAGTTGCAAGAAAAAGGAACGAGACCTATCTGGAAACCGGGACTAAGGCAGCGGCGCGCAGCTATCGGGCACACCATTGCAAGAATTACACGCTCGCTTGTAGAAAGTGAAATATAAATTAACCGACAAGACACGCCTGCTTCGATTACACGCGAAAAAATGGGTCCATGTTACGGGTTCTAGATTTGTCCAGAAGCGACCCCCTGTCAACTCCATATTGCAAAAATCCATCGCGACACGAAATATTCATTTTCCAGGCCAACCTTCTGTTGTATTTCCTTTTTTAATTTAATTCCGTCGAATTTGTATCCTTTTTAAATTTAATTCCGTCGAATTTGTATCCTTTTTAAATTTAATTCCGTCGAATTTGTATCCTTTTTAAATTTAATTCCCTCAAATTTAATTTTTTTTAATTTAATTTTGTCGAATTTGTTTTACTTTTAAATTTAATTCCCTCGAATTTGTTTTCATAAATTTAATTCCGTCGAATTTGTTTTCTTTTCAAATTTAATTTCCTTAAATTTAATTTTTTTTAATTTAATTTTGTCGAATTTGTTTCACTTTTAAATTAAATTCCCTCGAATTTGTTTTCGTAAATTTAATTCCGTCGAATTCTTTATTTTAAATATAATTCCGTCAAATTCCTCTTTCTAAATTTAATTCCATCGAATTTGTTTTCTTTTTAGAATTAATCCTCTAAAATTTAATTTTTTTAATTTAATTCTGTCGAATTTGTTTCTCTTTTAAATTCAATTTCCTCGAATTCCTCTTCCCAAATTTAATTCCGTCGAATTTGTTTCTTCCTTAAACTAACATTCATGAATTTTAAAAATTCTTAATTTTAATTCCGTCGAATTTGTTTTCTTTTTAAATTTAATTCCCCCAAATTTATTTTTTTTTAATTTAATTTTGTCGAATTTGTTTCTCTTTTAAATTTAATTCCCTCGAATTTGTTTTTGTAAATTTAATTCTCTCGAATTCCTCTTTCTAAATTTAATTTCGTCGAATTTGTTTCTTCCTTAAACTAACTTCCATGAATTTTCCAAATTTTTAATTTAATTCTGTCGAATTTGTCTTTCCTTAATTTAATTTCGACGAATTTAATTTTTATTTTAATTACTTTATTCGTAGCTAATATTACATGTTCATTGTAATTGCAATTGTACAATTTGGACATAATTTATTTAGGATAAGAAATTATGCGAGGGTATAGTTAAAAGTATTGTAAATTTGTTTATTTGTAAATTGTAAATTTCTTTAAAATATCTTAATTTTATAAATATTTTATTTACGTTAGTGCTTTATAAATTATTATAGAATAATTTAATTATGTTATAAAAGTACCGTATTTATTTCTATCAGTGTTTTATAAATATAAATTACCTTGCAAAACTATTTTGTTTATATTAATATTTCAGTTTAATGTTCAGTCACTTTCTAAAAGCATTTCATTTAATCCAGTCTGTTATAAATGTCACTTATTTCTATTCTATTTATTCAATTATTATTTACCTACTATTTGCTTATCCCGTGAAAGTGTCTTATTTATTTCAGCATACAGCTGTCGGTAATTTAAAGTTGTTACTTATTTTGTGAAAGTATTACATTTATTTGCCACAACTTAATAAACCTTGGTCGTTTTGTAAAAGTTCACCTTCGATAGATGCAATAATCTATATGATACGATACACCGCACTTCTCGATTTTCCATCGAGAATGAAAGGAAACTTTAGCACTTTTACTAGCAAGACCGAAGCATACGTGTTCCATTTTCGTTTTAATTGCTAGAGAACTGCAAGAAATTGCAGCGAAGTAGATAGAAGAATTGGAACTGAAAGTAGTACAGGATACAAAACTATACTTATTTCTTGTGGAACTTTCATTCTGCGTGTCTACAGTGATTGTAAAAAGAGAGCAAGAAAGGCTACAAACATGAATAACATAGCCTATCATTATCTTTTTGACTTTCTTCAGCCGAGCTACCGTTCAAAATAAATTAACTATAAAAATTAACTATAAAATCTGCACGATCGATCTCCATTAAAGAAATAAAATCGATATCGTGTATAATTCATTGTACATCATTAGAAATTTGCTCTTCCTTGACATTCGTTAACGCTTATGCATTATTCCATTTACAATTCTAATTTCATAAGTGAATAAATTTAATGGTCCAGAGGATATCAAATTCACAATGGAATTTGAAGAAAGTTCTTCAAGGTAATATCAATCCACTCTAAACACGTGAAATTATCGACTGTGCTGCGTTAGGTATACTTTCACCTTCATTTGAATATAATTTTCTATAATTTTTCTTATCCTATTTAGATAGCAAGAAAAAATATTTAACAATCGTACTTTCCTAATTTACGTGCTATTAATAAACGGTTAGGTCTCCTTTTCACGTATCAACAATTATCGATAAACATCGAAGCAATTATCCCGCTATCCCTTTCAATTCCAAACCCAGTATTATTATCCACTCGTGTTCGGACCAACGCAAATGATGTTACGGTCACGTTCAGTTTGCTGTACTCGTAAAACGCGAAAGCGTGACAGTTCGAAAAGAATTATGCATTGTTAACCATAGACAAATAAATTAGCGTTAGCATTTCTTGCTAGCAGAATTAGTTACTACCTGACACTAAAAACGAATTAAAATAGTCTTGCAAAATTAGAAATTCGAGTTATCCACTTTAAAGTGAACTTAAGTGATGATTTTTAACACAATTCTTCTTCAATATAAATTATAGAATTATTATACAGCAAATTAAAAATTGGACAAACTAATTATCTGCTTTTATATAAATTTGATCCACGCTATTTTTAACAGCACGAGACATAATCAGAATTATTGCAAAATCATTAACATTAATTATTCCATAAATTGCATTCGATTAGTTAGAACCATAGCAAAATTAATCAAAATCTTCTGCTATAAATCGTTACTTAATTGCTTCCATTTTTAACGATAACTATCGTTGGATACCTAAACTGGATCGATTACTATGATATTCAATCATGACAGAATTTTACGAACGTAATACTACTTTAGATTCTTTCAAATTCCTTCCTATGAATCATTAGCTACATATCTACCCTCGAATCGATCTAATAAATCATTAGCCTAATCTCGAAACGATCTAAAGTCTAATGTACCGTAACTTAGATCCAACTCTCGTATCCTTATACTCCGTGCTTTTGATGAAACCACGCTTACTACCATACATTCAAGACATTCCACAGTTCGTAATCCTAGTTGAAAACGATATCACGACTAATTTCGAGCCACGTTCACAGCACTAACTTTCCTTCCGGCACGATCCTGCGCCGTCTAATTAATCCAAGATGCGCGACGGCGGCCGCCATTTTGACGACGCCGCGAGAACCGCGAATCTATGCAGGAGAACTTATAACAATTAACAGCACGCGACACGTTTCGATTTTCGACTTAATAAATAATAAGAAATAATAAAAATTAAGAAATAATTCTGCACTCGTAATACACGTATACTCCTATCTCACTGCTATATAGCTTAAAAATAAAATCCCCGATAAAATCGTAGAGTTAACCTCAATTCTAAACGCGCCTTTAGCCCAAGGAAATACATGGAAGCTCGAGACGCACTTTTCTATGTCCACGATTTACGTTCTAGATTCACGAGCGATTCGGAATAAATACATTGTAGAAATTAGACGGACTGGATGAATTATAAGAGGTTATGAAAGTTTCGTGGAAGCCTGCCGGTATGCGTAATCGTAATGTCTAGCGAGCGTAGAAAAGATACGGAAAAGATTTACTCACGATGAAATTCATGGCGAGAAAGCAAGCAGCTCGATGCGTTCAAGGGTGGAGTGTATCTGAGGCGGCCGCGCGGTCACCGGAACAACTTTATAGGCGGCTACGTAAAAGGCGCCTTTCTGCGACGGGGATGTGACTTCTTGCCACCTCCACCAGCCCCCGGTTTTATCGGCTCCCCGGATTACCGTGCCACGGAACTGGCTTTTCAGTTCGCGTGCAGCCTTTTTCCGCGGTCCGCGCCGCTGGCCTGCCCCGCTGCCGGCGGCCATCATTCTTCCTAGATGAACGGAACAATGCCTGTGTGGCCGACCGCTGGCCATCGATACTCTGTGGTACCGGAATAGCAGGAGGAAGTGCTTTGACTTGGTCTAGAGAACGAGAAGCGGAATAATGAGAGGAGAAATTGGAATTTAGAGGTTGAGATTTTTTATGGGTTTTCGGGATGAGAAAGGTGTATGTCTGGTTCTTTTAGGATGGAATAGTGAATTATCATTTTCATTTCTTTCTTTGTAGTTGATGTTGAAGTATGGAAAACAGATTTCGGGAAACTTATAGAAATTATTGGAATTTATAGAAATTGTGTTTAAAAAAGAGTGGAATTGAGTATTTAAATATTGAAAATGTAGATGGGGTTTTGGGATGAGAAGGTTCGTTCAGGATTTTTTTTTCTTTTATAGTGATGTTGTAGTTGATGATAAGGTATGAAAAATGGATTTTGGGGAATTTATATAAATTATGTATTTAAAGGAAAATATAATTGTGGGTTTAAGTATAGCAAATGTGGAATATATTCAGAATGTAATTTGTAATTTAATATGCAATTATTTGCATGATACTTCAGTATTGTTTTTTAAATAATACTGAAATATTGTACTACTAAATTGAAGTTTTAATGATTAATATTATATATATATAATATTGTAATTATGTTAATTATACGATATATGTTATTACTATTAAAGTGTATTAGTATTGTATTTTATATTAAATTAATTTTATTTTTGGTACAAATCATGATGCTGTGAATAAATGAATAATGAGTTACAAATAATGTAACATAGAATAAATTTCTTTCATTTTTCCTTTATTATATATGTATCTACGTGAAATCATAAAATAAATTTGTTTTATTTCATTTTTATCTAATATTCTGCTATATTGTTGCTAATTTAATTAAAATATTAACTAAATAATAAATTTTATTATTCGCCACAATACAGGAATATTGACTAATTTCTTCACAATTTTGTTCTCCAGATTTTACTCAATCTTCGTTCAATAAGTATATTAAAAATATGAATATTAATATATTCTTATAATTAATATAACTTACTATTAATTTTTAATCGATATAAAATATATTGTGAAATATAATACTAATATATATAATAGTATATATTGTGAAATATTAGTGAAACATCAAAAATACAATTAATCTGCATTTCTACTAATTAAATAACTCAATTTTAATGAATTTCAATTACTATTGCTAACACAAACTTGGGCCAACTATATAATAGTATATATAATAATATACATTGTGAAATATTAGTCAAACATCAAAAATATAATTAATCTGCGTTTCTATTAATTAATAACTAAATTTTAATGAATTTCAATTACTATTGCTAACACAAATTTGGACCAACTATATAATAGTATATACAATAATATATATTGAGAAATATTAGTCAAGCATCAAAAATACAATTAATCTGCATTTCCACCAATTAATAACTCAATTTTAATCAATTTCAATTACTATTGCTAACAAAAATTTGGACCAACTATATAATAGTATATAGAATAATATATATTGAGAAATATTAGTCAAACATCAAAAATACAATTAACCTACGTTTCTACTAATTAAATAACTCAATTTTAATCAATTTCAATTACCATTGCTAACACAAACTTGGACCAACTATATAATAGTATATAGAATAATATATATTGAGAAATATTAGTCAAACATCAAAAATACAATTAACCTACGTTTCTACTAATTAAATAACTCAATTTTAATCAATTTCAATTGCTATTGCTAACATAAACTTGGACCAGCTAAGTTCATTGTTCTCTACAAGGTATTTCGTTACGATATTGTCTTCTTTAATTCAGTTTCGTAATAAATCGTACACTCGTTTGCATATTTCGATCATTCATTTGATCGACGTTTATCTGCCTTCTTAACAGCGCTCGCGGAAATTGCATTCGACTATTGCATTCCCATCTCGCGTTTCAAAAACTATTAAAAGTGTTACGAAGCTGACACGAGCGTACGTGTACCGCAGTCTCTCATTACTCGTAAAAGTGTACCCGATTGCATCGTTGGAAAATGCTGCAGCCGTCGACGAGGAATGCGATTCAAAGACACGTTTCCCAGGCAGCGACCATTCAAAGGTTACTATGCAGCGACCGCGTACATCAATTAATGCGATTGTGCACGTTGAACTTAGGTAATCATTGCAAACAAATAACGCAAATGCTCGTCATTCGCAGATGCTGCTTCTTCGTGTAACACTTTGAGCACAATGAGATGTACTTTCGCGTAATTCAGTCGTAATTACATTAAACCTGCAGTTCATAATACGATATGCATGTAGTGCGCTATTCCTCGATTAATCTCGTAATGACAACAAAAAATCCTATTTTCTATTTTTAAAAAGCGAATGAGATAAACATGGCCAATGGTAGAGGTTGATTACTATGTTCCAATTTTTTGCAGTCGTGTAATAAGAATGTTTGATTACAAGAAAGATTAAGATGAGTTTTTATAGCAATGACTATCTAAAGTTAATTTATTTATTGGTATTAGATTATATTAATATATTAATCATAATATTATCTTGTATTATGCTTGTAGTAGAATATCAGTAATTAGTATAGATAAACTTAGTATGAAGGTATATATTGTACCTACATTAAATATCTTTTTTAATTAAATTTATAATGCAGTTAAATTTATTTTTTGGAGACTCAATAATTATTGTATTTACATAATATGTTATTAATACATTATCCTATATGTAGATACTAAGTTAGTATATAAATTAATAGATATATGCATTAAAAATTTCTTCAATTTAATGAATAATATATGCAAATTTATTTTTTAAAATATTCTTTTGTAACGAAAGTTATTTTATATTATTATTATTTTATATTCAAACATTGTTATATTCCTATTTTATAATATATAGTACATATAATATAACATATCCTAATTTATAATATATTTTATATATTTTATGAATTTATATTTTGGAGTCTCAATAATTATTGTATTTGTATAATATGTTATTAACACATTATGCAATATTTATATACTAAGTTAGTATATAAATTGATAGATATATGCATTAAAAGTTCCTTCAATTTAATTAATAATATAAACAAATTTGCTTTTTAAAATGTTCTTTTGTAACAGAAAGTTATTCTATATTATTAATATTATTTTATATTCAAACATTGTTATATTTCTATTTTATAATATACAGTACATATAATATAACATATCCTAATTTATAATATATTTTATATATTTTATGAATTTATTTTTTGGAGTCTCGATAATTATTGTCTTTAATCAATTTAATTAACGATATACACAAATTTGTTTTTTAAAATATCTTTTTGGAACAAAAAGTTACTTTATATTATTAATATTATTTTATATTCAAACACTGTTATATTGCTATTTTATAATATACAAGACACGAGATCGCTCATCGCCACAAAAAGAAATAAAATAAACATTACCACAATATTTTTCGCGTAGAAATGATTTCATAGAGTACCCTGACCATTAAACAGTTCTCACGACAGTCAGGAAAGTTGATGCTCGTAAGAAGCAGTCGCCATAAAAGCTTACATAACATGACAGCAGATATTTATCTTCGTACACAAGAATAAATTCCACCTCCTAATCACGTTATCCACGATTAACCACCGTGATCGTTCATCCTCTTACTCCAAACTCGATATTAACCCTTTGCACTCGGCGAATTTTTCGTTACAGGAAAATAGTAATTCGAAGATTTTCTGCCATAAGGTGGATGATATTTTTAAAACGGTAAATAAGGAATCGTATGCAATTTAAGACGTAGAATTATTTTACCTCGATATTCCACGCATCGTTGGGTAATTGTAAATTTGATATACTAATTAACATCCATCTTTGGAATCCGATTAAATGGCGACTGAGGGTCGCCTCTCGAGTGCAAAAAATTAAAAAACTGCTCAAATTCGTTTGAAAGAAGTGGAAGAATTTTGTCAAAAAACCTCGCGAAGCTAAGATATCAATTGCACGAAAAATATTAACCATTTGTACTCAGCGATTTTTTCGTTACTGAAAAATAGTAATTCGAAGACTTTCTGCCATAAAGTCGAGGATATTTTTAAAACGGTGAATGCAAAATCGTATACAAAGGGGAACGTAGAATTATTTTGCTTCGATAATCCACGCATCGTTGGGTAATTTTAAATTCGATATATAAATTAACATCGATCTTTGGAATCCGATTAAATGGCGACTGAGGGTCGCCCCTCGTTATGCAATTTAAGACGTAGAATTATTTTACCTCGATATTCCACGCATCGTTGGGTAATTGTAAATTTGATATACTAATTAACATCCATCTTTGGAATCCGATTAAATGGCGACTGAGGGTCGCCCCTCGAGTGCAAAAAATTAAAAAACTGCTCAAATTCGTTTGAAAGAAGTGGAAGAATTTTGTCAAAAAACCTCGCGAAGCTAAGATATCAATTGTACGTAAAATATTAACCATTTGTACTCAGCGATTTTTTCGTTACTGAAAAATAGTAATTCGAAGACTTTCTGCCATAAAGTCGAGGATATTTTTAAAACGGTGAATGCAAAATCGTATACAAAGGGGAACGTAGAATTATTTTGCTTCGATAATCCACGCATCGTTGGGTAATTTTAAATTCGATATATAAATTAACATCGATCTTTGGAATCCGATTAAATGGCGACTGAGGGTCGCCCC